AAGGGGTTACTTGCAACCTTGCTCCCGGCATTTCAGTTGTATGACTTTCTGAAAGCCTTGTCAGTATGCTACCTTGAGGAATGGACTGACAGCTGCTGTTGAATTGTGTGATCTTAGCACTGCCTCTGGGATCATTATTCACTGGTATACAAGTTAATTTATCAGTCTACGTGACTCACGAAATCGTAATGACACGATTGCAAACAAACCATACCACGGGCGGGGATAGAACCCGTGATCAGAGTCTCAAAACTCCAGTTTTGAGACTCTCTGATCACGGGTTCTATCCCCGCCCGTGGTATGGTTAATTTATCAGTGGTATCTGCCATCATAGAATTCAGGAAAGCTGGTCAGCCAGACTAGCATTCTGGAAGTGGGAATTAAACTGCCTGCACTCTGATGAGTAGGAATGCAGTGATGTGGAAGGTTATTTCAGTTGCGATGAATGCACTTCTAACATGAAAGCTATTGAATGAGTGATGGTACATGTTTCCTTTGGGTTACTCTGAATTTGTAAGAAAAAAAACGGCTTTGATGTACAGCTCAGGTGTGACATTAATTCATTACTATCCTTTCTCTAGTTTTAATACAGTGGACCCTCAGCAAGCGATATTAATCCGTTCCTGAAAGCTCATCATTGGCTGAAATTATCGTTAGCTGAAGTAATTTTCCCCATAAGAAATAATGGAAATCAAATTAATCTGTTCCCGACACCCCAAAGTATGAAAAAAATTTTTTTTACCACATGAAATATTAATTTTAACCCTTTGAGGGTCGACAGGCCCTCTCCGAAACTCGTTCTCAGGGTCGGCCAAATTTAAAAAAAAAAAAAATTATTTTCTCTATTGAAAAAATAGAGAATCTTTTCCCGATCATAAAGACACCAAAAGTTTGAAATTTGATAGAAAACTTACGGAATTATGCTCTCGCAAAGTTAGCGGTCTCGGCGATGTTTACGCATCGGCGATTTTGCCCACTTTGAGCCCCATTTTCGGCTAATTTCACTGTACTAGTCGACAAAAAACATGAATATTCCGCTAGAACTCCATTTTTTCTATCGAATGAGTCCAAGAAACCACCCATTTATAAATTCAACTATCCAGTACAGTGGTCAGAATTTAGCAATTTTGCCAATTTCACACAAATTTCAAAAGATGCCAATTTCCGAATAGGGTCCAGAATAAACAAGAAAGACATTCCTGGCACTAAAATGACATTTCCTCTAGTCACTAGTCACGTCTCAAGGCCCCTCTTATATTCTTTTGCTTTCCACTTTGAATTTTTATTCTCACAAAAAATATAAGATTTACTGTTATGCAGACTACTGCATTAGTGTAAAAAATGGTATAAATATTATTGGTGCACTTGTGAAAGAATATTAGACTCACCAGTTGACGTGTATTGCACGCTTGGCACGATTTGTTTACTTTTGAAGTTTGGTAAAAATCGAACATTTCTGCTACTTTGAGCTCAATTTCAAGGCACCTTTCATTGTAAAACCAGTCAAAATCATCTCAATTTCTGTAATATGTCTTCCATTCTATAAAATGAGACCAAGAAAACTAGAATACAACAATAAATACCATACGAAAATACACTGCAAAGTCGCTGATTTATTAAAAAAAAATGGTCAAAGTTTTTTTTTTCTCATTATGCACTGTGTGCTGCAGGATTTTTTTTAGACTGTGCACACTGACCACATAGACCCATTCTTTCATATGAAGGCCTACCAGCTTTCTCCCACTAGATTTGAGGCCGCTAGAATTTATGAGTACTAGTACGTCAAAAACCCCTACGCGTAAGACGTACTAGTACGACCAAAACCCTCAAAGGGTTAATACACACAAACTGACACTTACCTTTATTGAAGATCTGGTGATGATTGATGGGATGGGAAGAGGGGAGAGTGTGGATGTTGTTAATGTTTAGAAGGGGAATCCCCTTCCATTAGAACTTGAGGTGTAAAGTCCTTTTCCGGGGTTACTTCCCTTCTTTTAATGCCACTAGGACCAGCTTGAGAGTCACTGGACCTCTGTCGCACAACATATCTGTCCATAGAGGCCTGTGAAGGTGATTTTCATCAAAAAAGGTTTGCACTTCAAGCCACTTTGCACACATTTCCTTTATCTTTGAAGTAGGCAACTTCCTCAATTTCTCTATCCCCTCCTCCGGAGCAGTTTCCTCAGGTCTGGCAACTTGCTGTTGAAGATGATCTTGCAGCTCATCAGTGGTTAGTTCTTTATTGTCCTCCTCCACCAACTCTTCCACATCCTCCCCACTAACCTCCAACCCCAAGGACTTCCCCAATGCTACAACTGGCATACACTTCTCAGGGTTAGCCTCAAATCCTTCAAAATCCCTTTTGTCTACACATTCTGGCCACAGTTTCTTCCAAGCAGAGTTCAAGGTCCTCTTAGTCACTTCCTCCCAAGCCTTACCTATAATGTTTACACAATTGAGGATGCTAAAGTGATATCTCCAAAACTCTCTTAGTCAATTGAGTTTCTGTGGTCACTACAAAGCACCTTTCAAACATAGCTTTTGTGTAGAGTTTTTTGAAGTTTGCAATGACCTGCTGGTCCATGGGCTGCAGGAGAGGAGTGGTAATAGGAGGCAAAAACTTGACCTTAATGAAGCTCGTGTCCCCAGAAAGTAGCTCTGCCACGTCTGAAGGATGGCCTGGAGCATTGTCTAATACCAGCAGGCACTTAAGGTCCAATTTATTTTCCAGGAGGTAATTTTTCACAGTGGGGGCAAATGCATGGTGTAACCAGTCATAGAAAAGGTCTCTAGTGACCCATGCCTTACTGTTTGCCCTCCACATCACACACAAATTAGCCTTGAGGACATTGTTTTTCCTGAACACTCGGGGAGTTTGAGTGATACACCAATAAAGGCTTCACTTTGCAATCACCACTAGCATTAGCACACATCAAGAGAGTAAGCCTGTCTTTCATAGGCTTATGTCCTGGGAGTGCCTTTTCCTCCTGAGTAATGTAGGTCCTGCTTGGCATTTTCTTCCAAAACAGGCCTGTTTTGTTGCAATTAAACACGTGTTCAGGTTTCAATTCTTCAATGTCTACGTAATCCTTGAATTCCTTCACATATTTTTCAGCCGCTCTTTGGTTTGAACTGGCAGCCTCGCCATACCTTATCACACTATGTATGCCACTACGATTCTTAAATCTCTCAAACCAGCCTTTGCTGACCTTAAATTCACTCACATCACCACTAGTTGCAGGCATTTTTCTAATTAAATAGTCATGCAACTTCCTAGCTTTTTCACATATGATTGCTTGAGAGATGCTGTCTCCTGCTATCTGTTTTTTGTTTATCCACACCAATAACAGCCTCTCAACATCTTCTATCACTTGCGATCTCTTATTCGAAAACAAAGTTGCACCTTTGGCAAGAACAGCTTCCTTGATTGCTGTTTTCTTGGCCACAATAGTAGCGATGGTTGATTGGGGTTTCGTATACAACCTGGCCAGCTTGGAGACACGCACTCCACTTTTGTACTTAGCAATTATCTCTTTCTTCATATCCATAGTAATTCTCACCCTTTTTCCTATAGGGTTGGCACTAGAAGCTTTCTTGGGGCCCATGGTGACTTATTATGCAGTTTTTTTTTTTTTCAACAAGTCGGCCGTCTCCCACCGAGGCAGGGTGACCCAAAAAGAAAGAAAATCCCCAAAAAGAAAATACTTTCATCATCATTCAACACTTTCACCTCATTCACACATAATCACTGTTTTTGCAGAGGTGCTCAGAACACTACAGTTTAGAAGCATATACGTATAAAGATACACAACATATCCCTCCAAACTGCTAATATCCCAAAACCCCTCCTTTAGAGTGCAGGCATTATACCTCCCATTTCCAGGACTCAAGTCTGGCTATATAAAAATAACCAGTTTCCCTGAATCCCTTCACTAAATATTACCCTGCTCACACTCCAACAGATCGTCAGGTCCCAAATACCATTCGTCTCCATTCACTCCTATCGAACATGCTCATGCACGCCTACTGGAAGTCCAAACCCCTCGCCCACAAAACCTCCCTTACCCCTTCCTTCCAACCTTTTCGAGGATGACCCCTACCCTGCCTTCCTTCTCCTACAGATTTAAATGCTCTCCGTATCATTCTACTTTGATCCATTCTCTAAGTGACCAAACCACCTCAACAACCCCTCTTCAGCCCTCTGACTAATACTTTTATTAACTCCACACCTTCTCCTAATTTCCACACTCCGAATTTTCTGCATAATATTTACACCACACATTGCCCTTGGACAGGACATCTCCACTGCCTCCAACTGCCTCCTCACTGCTGCATTCACAACCCAAGCTTCACACCCATATAAGAGTGTTGGTACTACTATACTTTCATACATTCCCTTCTTTGCCTCCATAGATAACGTTTTTCGACTCCACATATACCTCAACGCACCGATTGTATGCTTGGATGTGACCGCGGTGGCTGGCTTGTAAACACTGGCACCCACGGAACAAGTGAGGCAGGCTCAGGCCGCACGTGGACGCGTCTTGAACGAATTGCGTTGCTAGAGTTTTTTAGCGCTAGCCGAGGCAAAATTTTTGCGTTAAAATGTATCACTAGCCAGATTTAACATTAGGTGATGCCAGCGTTACCTGAGGGTCCACTGTATAATGTATTTGTAAATTGTAAATATATTTACACTATTGTTCCTGTTATTGTTATTTTCATCTTGCTAAAAATTGTATACTGTGGCACTTGCACTGTTTGTAATCAGTGTATATGTGATTTTTATTTTGTGGAACTACTTTGGCTTTTTACTTAAGTGTTATGAGTGATACACAAGTACTGTCCCCATTACGGCACAGGTACTGCACTTTTCTTGTGGTAGTGTTTTCAGGGATGACAAGTTAACCAGGCTACTAGTTTAATGGAGCATCATGAATGTTAAAATTTGAGGTGCAGAATTCATTTTTGAAATTATATAAAATATTTTTTCTGAATAGGTTCATAAACCATCAGATCCCAATAATCAGTATGTGGAGGATCAAGATGAAAATCGCCCACCTCCAGGCTTGGTTCAGCAACGAGAGCATCGCCAGATCACTGGCATCCTACAACCTTCAGTAGACATTCCTACCCTGCCTCCAGATGATCAGGAGCAAGAGAAGGAAGCAGGAAAAAAGAATGAAGCTTTGGATAGTGGAAGTAGGGGAGCTGAAGGAGGCCTGGACTTAGTAAGTAAATATCTGATGCATGTCACCATTCAGCATGTCGTTATTTTTGCGATTGATATTTATTTATGTTGCTCTTTGTTTACTGGGCACCATACGCACACCTACAATTGAAGATCTTTCGTAAACTTATTGTCTTGAGTTTGGTTCATTCTGTCATATTAAGAAGCACTTTCTAAGAGTACCTAATAACTTGATGCTAGACACCCACACTAGACAAAATACAGGCATTCCAATTCTATTGAAGACTGTTAATGGTTTCACAATGTTACACTGCAATGGAAAACAAAGTATTTTTTAAGCCCTGGAGAGAAATCAGTCACAAAATTTAAGATATTCATGTGTAAAGCTACACGTGCATAAATTTTTTTATTAAATGTAACTGGTTCATTGGGTTGCATGCTGCATGTTGTGGCTTTATAGAGAAATCAATGGAAGTCTCAATAGCAACAAATGGTGTTAAAATTCTGAAGGCAATGAATGTGGGGTAAATTGTTTATGCAGCTGGACGTGCTAGTCTTTGTCTTATCTAGTGCAGTGAATTTGTGCAGATCATTTGATAGAAGTTGCGAGACTGAGACTTCAAATGGAAGGCAGTGTTGCCTTGAGGTTGGTGAAGGGATTTTGATCCAAGAAATGTTACTCTTCTCTTCCTTTTATGAAACCTAATTGCCTCCCACTTCCCAGGTGCTGTGACCCTTATGTGCCTTCTCATAAAAATAAGAGCAGTAATGAGTTTTTATACAAGTAGTGAATGAATTTAGGAGGGGATTGAAAAGAAGAAAATTAAAAGTTTATATAGAAAGGAGAATGATAAGAGTAACAAAAAGGTGTAGGTAATGAAAAATGGAATGTCAAGAGGAAGGAAATATGAAAGGAATGGATGAATGTAGATATTTGGAAATGACCATGTCAGCAGATGAGTCTGTGAAAGATGAGCTGAACCATAAAATAGACGAGTAGGGGGAAGGGAAAAGTAGATTCACCAGTATAATCGCCCAACCCGGGCCTTTTCCAAGAGGTGGCCCGGCCTTGGTTCCCTTTCGCAAATAGATTACTGGGATTTATATCAAGAAGTGTAAGCAACAGAAGTCCAGAGGTCATACTGCAGCTTTATACATCATTAGTAAGGCCTCACCTAGATTATGCAGCTCAATTCTGGTCTCCATATTACAGAATGGACATAAATTCGTTAGAAAACATTCAGCGTAGGATGACTAAATTAATACATAGCATTAGAAATCTTCCTTATGAAGAAAGATTGAACACTCTTAAGTTACATTCACTTGTTAGACGAAGAATGAGGGGAGACCTGATCGAAGTGTATAAGTGGAAGATAAGTATTAATAGGGGGGATATTAACAAGGTCTTGAGGATATCTCTCCAAGAGAGAACCCGCAGTAATGGATTTAAATTAGATAAGTTTAGATTTAGAAAGGACATAGGAAAGTATTGGTTTGGAAATAGGGTAGTTGATGAGTGGAACAGTCTACCTAGTTGGGTTATTGAGGCTAGGACTTTGGGTAGTTTCAAATTTAGGTTGGATAAGTACATGAGTGGGAGGGGTTGGATTTGAGTGGGACTTGCACATCGGAGCTTGTTTCTTGGGTGGCATTGAAAATTGGGTTGGGCAAATGTTTTGTTAGTGGGATGAATTGTAAAGGACCTGCCTAGTATGGGCCAACAGGTCTTCTGCAGTGTTCCTCCTTTCTTATGTTCTTATGTTCTTATGAGTGTCTCAGACCTCCTCGTCTTCTGGGACCAGCTGTCCCCAGGCTTAGCCCCATTACCCGCCCCTACAGGGCTCAAAGGGAGAAGCTAGGCACTTTGGGCTGCCACAAACTCCGCCCACACTGGGCTCAAAGAGTGTGGCAGCTGCATAAAAGTAGGCGATGTCAGGAGGTGCAAAGGCAGCAAGCACTACAGGATCCTTTTCGAGCCACACCCCAGCTTTGGGCATTAAGCCCGAGCGCTGGGGAAGCTCAAGAATGCCCCTTGTTGTGTGCGTCTCTGCTGCTACCGGTTCACTTGTCCGTTGCACTCTGGGAAAAAGGTAGGTGGTGTACTCCCTTATTTGTGGTTGTAGGGGGTTACCTCTCGGATCCTGGTCCCATCTAACTTGCCACTCTCCAGAGTCACTCCCTCTTAGCTTCTTGGGCCCTAACCTACCTGCTTTTAAAACTGCAAGGAGCCTGCCTCCACTTCCTTACCAAGATCATTCCATTTCTCAACCACTCTGAGACAGAAGAAATAGTTCCTACCATTCCTGTGGTACCAGAGTATTTTGGTATCAATATTATGGGGTGTGAGCATTTGTTTCTGAACTTAGATATTAAGGAATAGTGTGGGGTAACTAAGGGTATAATTTAGAGGGCTGTGGTGGGTTTTTCTTTGGGGTGAAAGATGGAGAGCAATAGGATGATGAAGAGGGTTTATAAATTAGAGGTGGATGGTAGGAGGCATAGGGGTCATCCTGGTAGCAGTTGGAGGTAGGAGTTCAAGGTGTTTTGAGTGGTAGTGGCTTGAGCATTCAGCAGGCTTTTATGAGTGTGCTTGATAGAAGTGGTGACAGTTGATATTTAATGGACGTGTTATTTGAGTGAACAGAATAACAATTAGGAAGAAAGTCAGGAAAACCAATCAGCTAAACTTGAGTCCTAGCAGTTCCTGCACTATGAAAGTGGGGTAGGGATGCTGCAGTCATCTGAACTGATATCAACCCATTCCTGGCAAGACAGCAGTTGAATGAATGATGGTGAATGTTGCCCCATTTTTTTTTGGGGGGGGGGGGGGGGGAGGGGGGTTATCCTACCTTGGTAGGGTGACCTAGCCTGCCTTTTCTCAAAGTAAACAGTGTATTTAGTGGGAGTTCAAGATGAAATACTGTGGGCTGCCAAGAGCTCATATGTACTGTTCTTCACTTTCTTGGTGTCTGTTGATTCTGAGATGTTATTCCTTCAAAGGGCTGCCAAAATTGAAGGTAAATTAGAATGCATACTTTGGGCACAAAGTCAGGGAGGTTTGTAAACATTTACAAAAAAAAAATATGTATAAAATTAGAAAAGAATTTATTCTTTTGGCCTGTAAAAATAAAGCTTAGTACTGTACAATATTCTGTACTTTTTTCTATATATACACTACAGTATATATTTTTTTACAGAATGATTTTAATGACATTGTTCCCCTGGATGGTGAAAGTATGGCTGATTTCACACTAAACATGCCCAACAATTCAAAAGCCTTTGCAAAGATGACTCATGTAGCATCCACACCAGCCCCTTGGTCACTTGGGCAGGTTCCACAAGCCACAGTCACTGGTGAAGACTTCACTATGGCTTTCATGAAAGTTAAGTGAGTAGAAAGTCTTTTTTTCCCTTCTGCTTTGTTGTTTTACTATTCTGATTTTCATCTCTTAAACACTTGAAAGGTTTTACTGTCAGATTTGGATGGATGTTGCCTGGATTTCTTATTAGTGGTCGAATGTGTGTGAATGTGAGGAGGGAAGGGTTGGGAGTTAAGCATTATTTGGACAATGTTCTTTGGTAGGAGTATTCACCCATATGTGGCTGCAAGGTGTACCATGGGTATAAACATCATGGCAGAATCTTAAATTTGCTGGGCTGTGCATTATTTTTAGTTTGAATTTAGTTTTTATAGTTAAAAATAGGTTCAGTAAACCCTCAAGGGGTAACCAAAAAGTTGTGCACATAAATGCTGATGGGGCCCAGTAATATTTTAAGAACAGAGGTGAAGGGATATTATTTCTCTGCTGACTGTCTTCACTTGACCAAAGCATGTAGTGTCACTATCAGGCATTCATCCATTGATCATACAAAATAAAATTTGTATAGACAGTTGAAGTAGTAGATCTATAGTAGAAATCTGTGATCTCAGAATATTGCTGGGAGCCAGAGCTATATTCGGCATTTTTCCCCGCATCTCTGACAATGAAAGATGAGGAGAATCATAGAATTGAGGAGGGAAGGGAGGTGGGTGGTGCACTTTGGAGTCTGTAGAGACAAAGAACCTTGTCCATGGAAGCAAAGAGGGGACTATATTAGAGTATAGTTGTACCCGCACTCTTATATGGGTATGAAGCATGGGTGGTGAATGTTGCAACAAGAAGGCTGGAGACAGTGGAGATGTCATGTCTGAGGGCAATGTGTGGTGTGAATATATTGCAGATAATTCGTAGTTTGGAAATTAAGAGGAGGTGCGGGATTACCAAAACTATTATCCAGAGGCTTGAGGAGGGGTTGTTGAGGTGGTTCGGACATATAGAGAGGATGAAACAAAATAAATGACTTCGAGAGTGTATAAATCTCGAGTGGAGCAAAGGTGAGGTAGGGGTCGGCCTAGGAAAGGTTGGAAGGATGGAGTGAAGGAGGTTTTGTGTGAGAGGGGCTTGGATTTCCAGCAAGCATGCATGAGTGTGTTAAATAGGAGCGAATGGAGGCAAATGGTTTTTAGGACTTGACGTGCTGTTGGAGTGTGAGCAAGGTAACATGAAGGGATTCAGGGAAACTGGCAGGTTGGACTTGATTCCTGGAGCTGGGAAGTACAGAACCTGCACTTTGAAGGAGGAGTGTTAATGTTGCAGTTTTATAACTGTAGTGTGTGTGCCTCTGGCAAGGCAGTGATGGAATGAATGATGGTGAAAGTTTTTCTTTTTTCAGGCCACCCTGCCTTGGTGGGAGACAGCCTGTGTGTTAATAAAAAAAAATATAAAATGACACCTTCCTACACCATTATTTTATTAATTATTTTATTACAATTTATTACAGTTTCTTAAATGTATTCTTCAGCATTTTTGTTTGGTAGAGGGGTGGTGAGTTCCTTTATTTCATACAGTTTGGTAAGGAAGTGTGGCTTGTATTTACTATGTTGAAATGTACTGAGTTTCAGTTAAGCCTTGCTACATCCAACTCCGTTCAGTAGGACAGAATAAACCCTCCTATACTCTTCAGATAATCAAATAATGACTAACTGAATGTAAGATAAGATAAACTAGTAATTTATTCCTAGTAGAGTAGTTAAAAATTTGTTTTGGTAGATATGGAGATTTTTTTTTTCCTTCCAACAAGTTGGCCATCTCCCACCAAGACAGAGTGACCCAAAAAGAAAGAAAATCCCCAAAAAGAAAATACTTTCATCATTCAACACTGTCACGTCACTCATACATAATCGCTGTCTTTGTAGAGGCGCTCGGATACGACAGTTTAGGAGTCCCTCCACACTGTCAATATCCCAAACCCCTCCTTTAAAGTGCAGGCATTGTACTTCACATTTCCAGGACTCAAGTCTGGTTTCCCTAAATACCTTCACTAAATTTTACCCTGCTCATACTCCAACAGCTCGTTAGGTCCCATAAACCATTCGTCTCCATTCACTTCTATCTAACACGCTCACACACGTTAGCTGGAAGTCCAAGCCCCTCGCCCACAAAACCTTTACCCCCTCCCTCCAACCTTTTCGAGGATGACACCCCCACCCTTCCTTCCCCTACAGATTTATATGCTCTCCAAGTCATTCTACTTTGATCCATTCTGTTTAAATGACCAAATCACCTCAACAACCCCTCTTCAGCCCTCTGGATAATAGTTTTGGTAATCCCACACCTCCTAATCTCCAAACTACAGATCTTTCTTTCTTTCAACACACCGGCCTTATCCCACCGAGGCGGGGTGGCCCAAAAGGAAAAACGAAAGTTTTTCCTTTTACATTTAGTAATATATACAGGAGAAGGGGTTACTAGCTCCTTGCTCCCGGCATTTTAGTCGCCTCTTACAACACGCATGGCTTACGGAGGAAGAATTCTGTTCCACTTCCCCACGGAGGTAAGAGGAAATAAACAAGAACAAGAAAGAAAATAGAAGAAAACCCAAAGGGGTGTGCATATATATGCTTGTACATGTATGTGTAGTGTGACCTAAGTGTAAGTAGAAGTAGCAAGACATACCTGAAATCTTGCATGTGTATGAGACAGATAAAAAAAAGACACCAGCAATCTTACCATCGTGTAAAACAATTACAGGCTTCAGTTTTACACTCACTTGGCAGGATGGTAGTACCTCCCTGGGCGGTTGCTGTCTACCAACCTACTACCTAGAAAACTACAGATTCTCTGCATAATATTCACACCGCACATTGCCCTCAGACGTGACATCTCCACTACCTCCAGCCTTCTCCCTGTTGCAACATTCACCACCCATATTTCACACCCATACAAGAGTGTTGGTATAACTATACTCTCCTGCATTCCCCTCTTTGCCTTCATGGATAAAGTTCTTTGTGTCCACCGACTCCTCCGTGCACCACTCGCCTGTTTTCCCTCATCAGTATCAGTTCTAAGATTCACCTCATCTTTCATAGACCCATCTGACATGTTCACTCCCAAATATCTGAATACATTCACCTCCTCCATACTCTTTCCCTCCAATCTGATATCCAATCTTTCGTTACCTAATTTTTTTTTTTTTTGTTATCCTCATCACCTTACTCTCCTATATTCACTTATAATTTCCCTTTACATACCTTACCAAACTCATCAACCAACCTCTGCAACCTCTCTCCAGAATCTCCCAAAAGCAGTGTCATCAGCAAAGAGTAACTGTGACAACTCCCACTTTGTGCTAGATTCTTTATCTTTTAACCCCCACGCCTCGTGCCAACACCCGAGCATTCACTTCTCTTACAACTCCATCTATAAATATATTGAACAACCATGGTGACATCACACATCCCTGTCTAAGGCCTACTTTTACTGGGAAATATTCTCCCTCTTGCCTACATACTCTTAACCTGAGCTTTACTGTCCTCGTAAAGAGACTACTGCTTTCGCTAACCTACCTCCTATTTCATACATTTGCAACATCTGCCACATTGCCCCCATCCACCCTAGTATATTTAAACATTGGCATTCAGTATGCTACAAGGGCATTTAATGTAATGGAGTGTGAGCAGGGTAATATTTAGTGAAGGGATTCAGGGAAACTGGTTATTTTATATAACCGGACTTGAGTCCTGGAAATGGGAAGTACAGTGCCTGCACTCTAAAGGAGAGGTTTGGGATATTGGCGGTTTGGAGAGATATATTGTGTATTTTTATACGTATATACTTCTAAACTGTTGTATTCTGGGCACCTCTGCAAAAACAGTGATTGTGTGAGTGAGGTGAAAGTGTTGAATGATGATGAAAGTATTTTCTTTTTGGGGATTTTCTTTCTCTTTGGGTCACCCTGCCTCGGTGGGAGACGGCCGACTTGTTGGAAAAAAAAAAAAAGAATGTACAGTGGTACTTTGAGTTACGAACTTAATTCGTTCCAGAAGGCTGTTAGAGTGCCAATACCGAATTAATTTGTTTCCATGAGGAATAATGTAAATTAGATTAGTCCATTTCAGACCCCCAAAAATACAATTACAAAAGCACTTACAAAAATACTCTTACATAATTGTTCAAGTTGGGAGCTATTTGAAACTTGAGGTACTACTGTATTTTGATTAACATTGCATGTCATACATTTTGAATTAAGATTAACTTGAATGACTTGTGTGATATGATTTCATAAAATTCTCTTGTGAAACACAGCATTCCTTCAAGGAAGGCACCTTTGTCAGTGATATAGGGAATTGGACCTTCCCTGCACTATCTGGGATGAAATTTTATTGCCTCAAATTCTCCATTGCCCAAGTGCTTTGATGCTTATGGATTTAGCATTTCCATATAAATAAAATACAGTAGTAAAGGGTAGGAGTGCCTTCAGTTGCTCTAATGCAATCTTTTTTTTTTTTTTTTTTTTTTCTTCCAGTCTCTTGCCTCTTGTAGACGAGGATGAGAAAATGGATGACATTGGAGCAAAAGAGGATAGTGGTAAAATAATGCCTCCACCCAATCTGCCACCGCATCCTGCATCTCCATGTCCTGTACCCAAGGCTGGGCTTTCTCCAATTATGGAAGCTTCAAGAGAATTTAGGTATGGTGTGAAATGACTAAATGACTGTTACCATTTGTAATACCTGTTTATTTGATACCAAAGAATTTTTAATCATTATGATGACTGAAAATAGTTATTGTTGGTTTTTGAGCCATAATTTGAACACATTAAGAGTTACATCATTGGTTGGTAGCACACTCAGCTTACATACTGAGGGTCCATGGTTCAGGCCCCTACACAGGTGGAAACTTCAGGCATTTTTCCTTACACCTGTTCACCCTGTTCACTAGCAGTAAGTAGGTACCCAAGCATTACTTGACTGTTGAGTTACATCCCAGGGGGTGGTAGTATACCTTAAGCTGAGCTGAGGTAGAATGTTTTGGGAAAAAAATGTACTATGTTTGTTTCACTCCTTCCATCTCCAACCATGGTAGGGTGACTTTAACCCGTAAATGGTCCAAACGTATATACAGTATACGTTTTTTCAACATTTGAAAGTATGTAAAAAAAGTAGATCTTTTTGTTTTTTACATTTGACAATGTGTAAAAAAACTTTGATCTACTTTTTTTTGTTATATTTGAAAATATGTAAAAAAACGTAGATCTACTTTTGTAGCATTACACATGTGAACGTAGATCTGCTTGGACCGTTTACGGGTTAAAAAAAAAAAAAAAAACTTTTACCATCACTTGACAATCTCTGTCGTGCCAGAAGTATACAGATATAATTCAGATGACTGCAACATTCCCCACCCCTAGTTTAGAGTGCAAGCATTGCACTTACCCATGAAGACTTGAAATCCGGCTAACCAATTTCCCTGAATCCCTTTACAAAATGTTACCTTGTTCACACTCCAACAGCACATCTAATGAAAGCTGTTATTCTCCATTCACTCCTAACATGCTCACACAAGCCTGCTGGATGCTTAATCCCCTGAAACTCAAACCATTACTCCCTCTAACCATTCCTAGGATAATGCTGACCCCTCAAGCCTTCAATCCAGGATAAATAGACTACTCTTTGTCAACCCCAACATGCCCAAACTGCATCAACAATCCCCCATTCCCCCTCTGAATTATGTCCTTGGAGAACCCACATTGCCTTTTAATGTCTATGCTACATGGTCATTTTCTAACATAATCTAGAAATTCTTTCTTATTTAGGTCATCATCCTCAAACAGTTCGGGATATTCTACATCTACAACACTTGGTGGCCAGTCTGTTAATGGACTTCCTCAACAAGGCGGGTTCTCTGCAAGCAGTCAGATGTATCGCTCTCATCAGCACTCGAACACACAGTCTGAAGTATGTGCCAGATACAAGGAATTTCTTACTACTGGGCATCTTTCTCTTTCCTAACATGAATTATAACAAGGAAATGTGACCACATCATTTACATATCTTCTGTATTATTGCTCATTTTACTGTGTAATTGCCTATTTGTAGCTACGGTACTAATAGCTATACAGCAACTTGGTATGTTGTAGTGTACAAGTATAAATTTCTTTTGCTTCCTTTCAATACTCAGAGACTTGGGATACCAGTTGCTCTATTGAAAAATCTTAATTATAAGTTATATAATGAAGCTGCTTGGCAGCCACTTGCTAACACTATACTATACAGTCCTTCCAGCTAGGCACTCTTGTGTGTCTGTTTTTGGCAATTTTGCCAATTTTTTTCTGTTTCAGTATACATTTGAAGCTGCTGCCATTCAGACAGGAGACTTCACTAAATCTGGCTATTTAGCTGACAAATCTAGAGGGGAGAGCTTGATTGACTCAAGACCTGGCATTTTGGCATTACAGGTATGTTACTGCAAATACACACATGCAAAGAGTATCAGCAGCATCATTGGCTAAGCTTGCAAACATAAGAGTGGCATTTAGCAGCCTAGATGGATTAGATCAAAACTTTTTGCCTATGATGTGCAACCCATTCTTGATTATTAGTGCTGTTGTGAACCAGTTACTTAGTAAAACATGGTGAAACTTGTGCACTCCTTAGATGTTTCTCAAAGACTGTAACAGGCTGGAATAATAAGAAATGTACTCCCTTGGATCAAACAGTACCTTAGAGGAAGGAAATGGTGATTGTTAGGGAAGAGCCATCAAAATGGGGAAGAGTAACTAGTGGGGTGTTTTACATGATGGTAGGATTGCTGGTGTCCATTTTTTGTCTCATAAACATGCAAGGTTTCAGGTACGTCTTGCTACTTCTACTTACACTTAGGTCACACTACACATACATGTACAAGCATATATATATACACACACCCCTCTGGGTTTTCTTCTATTTTCTTACTAGTTCTTGTTCTTGTTTATTTCCTCTTATCTCCATTGGGAAGTGGGACAGAATTCTTCCTCCGTAAGCTATGCGTGTTGTAAGAGGCGACTAAAATGCCAGGAGCAAGGGGCTAGTAACCCCTTCTCCTGTATAAATTACTAAATTTAAAACTTTTGTTTTTCTTTTTGGGCCACCCTGCCTTGGTGGGATACGGCCAGTTTGTTGAAAAAAAAAAATTAGTGGGGTTCCATAAGGATCAGTATTAGGACCATGACTTTCTGGTTCGTGAATGACATTAGAGATGAGGTTAAACCAGATGTATACCTGCTTACTGATGTGAAACCAATGAACTGAACAAAAACATGAGGAAAGGGAAAGGCTTCAAATGGATCTGGACAAACTGCAAGATTGGATTCTAACGCTAAGTAAGAAAATTCACATCAGTTGGTCTGATGCTATTGCTACATTTACAAATAGGTAATTACATGGATGTGCCAAATTTTTATATTTAATTTTAAATTTCTATTTTGATTGAAAACAGTTTGGCAAAGCAGAAATGTTCATATATCAGAGAACTTGTTATATAGGTATTTTTTCAGTCTAAATTGAAATAACTTTTATTAACTTTAATCTTGGTTTGGCATTTTTTTTTTTTTTACTCCCCATTAATATACTGTATTCTAACAGTTATTTTCACTTTTTCAGAATCGTCTTCGGGAAGAAGAAAATGGGATTGTGTTTGACCCCGATCAGGCTGCAGCAATGTTGATGGATGTGGATGATATAATGCCATCTTCAGCTAAATCAGCTAGACCAGATAATAAAGAAAAGATGATTTTGTCAAAGGTTAGCCTACCAAAACACTATTGCTAATAAACTATGAAAATTGTTAAGTTTTTGTAAGAATATAGGTCTCATGATTTTATAAACAAGATGGATTACTTAACCCCTAAACAGTCCAAATGTATATATGTTCTTACCGCTAGTGCCCCAAACGTATGTATACGTTTTAATTTTCCTGCCTCCAAATTTGGTACAATTTGCCTGAGATGCCTGGTCAGCATAGAATGGGTCTTAACACTCGGTGTGCACCATATTAAAAAAATCTGGGACCACTTAGTACCTTGTGAGAGTGCCAGCTCGAGCAAACAGTGCTGCAAACACCAAGGATTCACTGATGTAATGTCATATTAACACTCCCCTTTTAAGAGGAAAGTGATATTAACCCCAAGTTTAGGGTCTGTCTATCTCTGTCTCTGTCTATCTCTTTTTATCTGTCTCACAGGTACTCACAAATACAGTTATACTTCTTCCTCCTCCTCCTCCTCCTCCTCCTCCTCCTCCTTCTTCTATACTCCCGTGTATCCAAAACATTGCTGGGACCAATAAATACTTGTATATGAGAAACTTTGGTTTTTTCTTTTGGGCCACCCCGCCTCGGTGGGATATGGCCGGTGTGTTGAAAGAAAGAAAGATTCCTAGACAATAGTAAATGACCAAGGCAGGTGTAAATGTCCACTTGTCAATGTGTTTGTGACAATTTGAGTACAATTTCAGTACCTAATATTAGTGTCAGAACAAGAATTGGTTATGAAATGCCAAGAACTACAATAAATTGTCATTATCAGAACATAAAAATTATATAAAATATAGAAATGAGAAAAAATGGTATATCGGCAACACTTCCTCAAGCGACAGGACTCGATGTTGCCCTCAGGTGAGCATTAAGTGCCATCTTTGCAGCCTCATATCTCTGTAAGTACTGACCCTAATTTTTTTATTTTAGTCCTGTAACACTTGGAAAACTTCTCTCTTTATTTCAATGAAATTTTTTTTTTATATTTTTCAAAATATTCGGGGCACTGGGAGAGAGAATGTATACAGTGGACCCCTGACCAACGAAGGCATCGTCTAACGAAAAAATCGCCTAACGAAGCGTTTTAGTGTAAAAATTTTGGCCCGACTAACGAAAAACTCAAACTAACAACAATCGTCCCGAACGTGTCTGCCTGTCCATCCAGGCTGAGCATGCCTCGGCTGTCCTGCCTTCAGCTAGTGTGCCATTGTTTACAAGCCAGGGCTGACGGTTTCATGCATACATGCGATATATTTTGTATTCCATTGTTTTTAGTGCTTATACCTGATAAATAAGCCACCATGGGCCCAAAGAAAGCTTCTAGTGCCAACCCTGTGGTAAAAATGGTGAGAAATGCTATCGTACCATGGTCAGCTGTTGCTGCTGTACCACCATCAGCTGTTGCTGCTGTACCACCATCAGCTGCTGCTTTTGCTGTACCATGGTCAGTTGCTGCTGCACCACCATCAGCTGCTGCTGCACCACAGTCAGCTGCTGCTGCACCACGGTCAGCTGCTGCTGCACCACGGTCAGCTGCTGCTGCACCACGGTCAGCTGCTGCTGCACCACGGTCAGCTGCTGCTGTACCACGGTCAGCTGCTGCTGTACCACGGTCAGCTGCTGCTGTACCACGGTCAGCTGCTGCTGTACCACGGTCAGCTGCTGCTGTACCACGGTCAGCTGCTGCTGTACCACGGTCAGCTGCTGCTGTACCACGGTCAGCTGCTGCTGTACCATGGTCAGCTGTACCACTCGAGGATGTGGAGTGTGTGTTGTTGGTGTGGCCTAACGAGAAACAATTACCGAGAAATGATAAACCCCAGAGGTTTAGCCACCCAGGATAACCCAAGAAAGTCGGTGCATCATCGAGGACCGTCTGACTAATTTTCATTGGGGTCCTTAATCTTGTCCCCCAGGATGCGACCCACACCAGTTGACTAACACCCAGGTGAACAGGAAAAAAATGCCTGGAACTAGTGCTCATATTGGTGAATTTAAGGCCCGCAAAGGTTGGTTTGAGAGATTTAAGAATTGTTGTGGCACACACAGTGTGATAAGGCATGGCGAAGCTGAAAAATTCCAACCCCAACAAGTGTTCAGTTGTGATGAAACAGGCCTGTTCTGGAAGAAAATGCCAAACAGGACCTACATTACTCAGGAGGAAAAGGCACTACCCAGTTAAAGACAGGCTAACTCATGTTTTGTTGTAATGCTAGTGGGGATTGCAAAGTGAAGCCTTTACTCATGTAGTATCACTCAGAAAATACCAGTGTTCAAGAAAGTGTCTCATCACTCATCAGTACTCTTCAATAAAGGTAAGTGTCATTTATTCTTCATTTAGTATTTATTGTGCATGTATCCTTGTTTTTCTGTGTAGGAAAATGTACATTTCATATGAATTTTTTTTTTTCATACTTTTGGCTGTCTGGAAGGGATTAATTGGATTTCCATTATTTCTTATGGAGAAAATTGAATCGGCTAACAATAAATTCGCCTAAAAATAAGCTCTCTGGAACGGATTAATATCGTTGGTCGAGGGTCCACTGTATATACGTTTGGACCGTTTATGGGTTAATAGATGAAATTTTAGTCTAAGCTAAAACAAGTATATACAGTGGAACCTCGGCTTTCGTTTGCCCTGGTTTTCATCGAATTTGGTTTTCGACAGCGCTTTTCGTCAAAATTTTGTCCGTTTTTGTTCTTCACCTCGATTTTCAAGTTGACAGTGGTCTGCCGTACTGAACATTTCCGCCTGCCCTTGTCCACACAAAGCATCTCGTGCATTCTGAGTCAGTCTGGCTTTGTTTCTTGTCGAGTGAGCATTACCCTGCACATTCATCTGAAACATTTTGTAATAATTCATTGTTGTGTTGTGGTTGAGTGTGACTACTAAATAAGCCACCATGGGGCCAAAGAAAGTGCCGAGTGCTAGCTCTTTGATAAAGAAGGCGAGAAACACGATAGAATTTAAGAAAGAACTTGTAGCAAAGTATGAAAGTGGAATGAGTTGCAAAGTTTCGTGGAGGAGTATTACTACCACCCTCTGCGAAGGTAGAGGGTGGTAGTGATTGATGGATGGTGGTAGAGGGTGATGGTGGTTGTGATGGTAGTAGACGGTGGTAGTGATGGTGGTAGAGATAACCTCTCCTCCCTCTCCCCTCATCATCCATATGCCAACAAGAGTCTTCAATAAAGGTAAAAGTGATGTTAAATGTTCATTTATCCATTTCATTAATCCTTTATATTCATTTCTCATTGTTTTCTGTATGTAAAACTAGTTATTCTCTATAAAATGTATTTTTTGTTAATACTTTTGGGTGTCTGGAATGGATTAATTGGATTTACATTATTTCTTTTGGGAAATATTGCTTCAGTTTTTGTTGAATTTGGGTTTCGTCAGACTTTCTGGAACAAATTAATGAAGACCGAAGTTCCACTGTATTGCATGTTTAATATAATGCAATGCTTAAGTTTTTAAATATTAGTGGGTGCATAAATTGCATGACAAATATTGGTTCCCAGAATCACTGCTATATCCCTGTTCCTAAGGGCTATGGTGCAAGTGAAATTTTAAATGTTTTCTTTCCACCTTCAAGTGTCAAAGGTTTTATGAATTTTTTTTTACTCTGCTAGCCTGCCTTTTTTCTTTTTTTTTTCTTTTATAGGTATTGGGGTTCTACTCTGGTCATATCAAAAATTTTCACTTGTTTTATAAGTTTAGGACTGTTGTCCTGCCTCATGTCAGAAACTTTATTCTACACAATTCATAAATATACCTGTTTCTTGATAACAATAGGGAAGGAATTTCCTTTTATCTTGTTTCATGTCCATTTCTTTGTAGTAATGTTTAATTTATGCGGGAGAAGAGGTTACTAACCCCTTGCTCCCGGCATTTTAGTTGCCACTTACAATATGAATGGCTTACAGGAGGAGGATTCTTCTCCACTTTCCCATGATACTTGTCTTGCCAAAATGCAGTTTTATCATTGGTCATCTTGTATTTGGTGTTTCAGTAAGCTCTCATATTTATTTGCACCTTTTAACTTGCTATTGTTGAGTAATATTTTTTAAATACAGTTAGTGTGTATGCCCATATCTACAGTTTTTAAGTACGATGCATTTGTATTATTGTAGTAATTCGTAAAATATTCATCTATTAAATTATTTTAGATACTGATTTTTAGTTTACTTTCTTTTACCTCTTTGTGCATAAAAAGTTAACCATATTTATTTTTTTCCTGCTTTTGCAGCCATAGTATTTAAAATTCTCATCAGTGAAGGACTTGTTGAAATTGAAAATACAGTGGACCCCCGGTTAACGATTTTAATCCGTGCAAGAGGGCTCATCGTTATGCGAAATAATCGTTATGCGAATGAATTTTCCCCATAAGAAATAATGGAAATAAAATTAATCCGTGCAAGACGCCCAAAAGTATGAAAAAAATTTTTTTTTACCACATGAAATGTTAATTTTAATACACACAAACTGAAAAAGGCATGCACAATTACATGACACTTACTTTTATTGAAGATCTGGTGATGATTGATGGGATGGGAGGAGGGGAGAGCATTATCTTCTTACTGTTTAGAAGGGGAATCCCCTTCCATTAGGACTTGAGGTAGCAAGTCCTTTTCTGGGGTTACTTCCCTTCTTCTTTTAATGTCACTAGGACCAGCTTGAGAGTCACTGGACCTCTGTCGCACAACAAATCTGTCCATAGAGCTCTGTACCTCCCGTTCCTTCAAGACTTTCCTAAAATGGGCCATAACATTGTCATTGAAATAGTCACAAGCACGGCTTGCAACAGCTGTGTCAGGGTGATTTTCATCTATAAAGGTTTGCAGTTCAACCCACTCTGCACACATTTCCTTAATCTTTGAAGTAGGCACAATGGATTCCACAACTGGCATAGGCTTCTCAGGGTTAGCCCCAAACCCTTCAAAATCTTTCTTAATTTCCATACTAATTCTCACCCTTTTTACCACAGGG